CCTCCCCTCCCCCCGCCACCCCCACCCCCCCACCCCTTCCCCCTCCCCCCCCCCCCCCCACCACCTCCCCCCCTCCTTTGCCCTCCCTCTTCCCCTGACGCTCCTGCCCTCCCCCCCCGCCCCCCCCCTCCTCCCCCCCTTATGTATCTCTCCCTTGATCCTCCTCCACATCCCTCCTCATCCCTTGCCCCTCCCATCCCCCACCCCCCTCCTCCTTCCTCCGCCATCCTCTCCCTCCTCTCTCCTCCCCCTCCCCCCCTTCCCCCCCCCCCCCCCCGCCTCCTCCTCCTCCGTAGCCATTTTGGCTCAAGATGCCTTGTTCCGCAGGGGAACACGTGGATACCGCTAGTCCGCGGCTTGCATTCGAGTGTTTTCTGGCCCGATCAGTCTGCCCTGGTCGGTGCCTGCAGTCTGCTTTGGTGAGCTCCTGCAGGAGCAACATCCCCTCTTGTGCCAGGCGTCGGGAGCGATGGCTTGGCGGTATCGCGCCCCGTGGCATGCTGCTGCTGGCCGTGGCCGGCGTGGTGGCGGCGCTCGCGGCGACGGTGGCGGTGGCCGCCCGCGCCGCGGAGGAGGTGGCTACTCCGTGTGCGCTGCCTGCGGCCACTGGGAGTACGACCGCTACGGGAACTGGTGCTGCTCTAAATGTGGAGGCAGCTACCTGGCGAATGGCGCCGCTCCTGCGGCAGGCGGCAGCGCGCAGGCTGGCGCTGGGCAGGAGGCTGGCCTCGCCAAGCAGCTCAGTGCCCTTGCCGCCCTGCACCCCGCCATGGCCGCTACGCTGAAGGCTGCCAGTGCTGAGGCGGCTGCAGTTGGTGCTCAGTCAGCTGAACCGCCAGAGCCTGTCAGTGCGAATGAGTTGGAGAAGAAGGTGGCGGCACGCCAGGCGGAGCTTTCGAAGGAGGTCGAGAAGGCGGCGCGGGCAGAGCGCATCGCCCAGACCGAGGTGGAAGCACGCCTGGCAGCCGCTGTCAAGTATCGTGAAGCCTTTCAGCAGGCGGAGGCGGCACATGCCTCAGCCGTGGAGGGGCTGGCCCAGTGCCAACAGGAGACGAGAGCTGCGCAGGAGGCCAAGCAGCTGTTCTCTGCCGATGCCTACCGCGAGGAGTGCAGGCGTGAGGAGCGCCGCCAGGCCGATGCCGCGGCCGCAGCACGGCGTCGCGCTGCGGCTGCTGCCCCTGCCGCGGCTGCACCTGGTGGAGCAGGCGCGCCACGGGCTGCGCCTGCGCCTGGCCCTCAACCTCCTGCGCAAGTGCCTGCACATGCTGCTGACGGTGGTGCTCGTGGCGACGCTGCTGGCTCTGGCGCGCTGCCGCAGCCGCCGCCCAACTTCACAGCCATGGGTGAGCCAGAACTCCGTGCGTGGTGCCAGCTACATGATCAGCAGTTCCAGTTCTGGCATGCGGCGCAGCAGATGCGCGTCTCCCTTGAGCGTGACGATGATGAGTTGGCTGATGTTGCCTCTGATTTTGGCACAGATCGTCTTGATGAGCTACTTGAACTCAAGAAGCAATCCATCGAAGAGCCCTTGCAGGAAGCTGAGCGAGATCGGCTTGAGGAGCTGCTCTGCAAGCAAGCTAACCAGAAGGCCGCCAAGCGTGCTCGAGTTGCACGGTCCGATGCCGCCGCTTCCTTCAACCGCATGCTGCAGCAGTTCCAGCCGCGCGGGGGTGCTGTTCCAGATGGAGATCATGGGCCCGCTGGCGTGGGAGAACCAGGGGCTGGCGATGCATGTGAACGTGTGCAGTCTTCCTAGCCCTGACCGAGGCGGAGGTCGAGACGCTGAAGGCGGCGTGAGGCCTGGCTGGCCCCTGAGCCGCCACCGCCTGCAGCCAGTGCCAAACGCAGTCGAATTTCTGTTCTGCAAAATCACGAGCTGGAATGCGGTTTCACTGTCTTTCGCCCAGGAAGTGAACCGATGTGTGATGGGTTCTTCTTTTGCGAGCATCGTATGCTCACCGATTCTTGTAAGCTTGCTAAACGGAAGTGTAAGCAGATGAAGTGGAGGCCTCACTTCACCCCTGCCACCCGCTCCCCTGGATGGGGGCCTGCACCACGGGGGGGTCGGGGCCGTAGTGAGTAGAGGTATTTGTTTTAGGCGTTTCCTGTCTTCGGATTCGTCCCTCCTGGATCAGGGCTTTGGAATCCACTGGCAGTTCTTGCAGCTTAAAACCAAGAAGCTGTTCTTGCTGTAGGCGTGTGTTATTTAGATGACGGCCTGGGTGTAAGTGGGGTGAATATAGATCGGTTGCGTGAGATCTGAGTTCGTGGGCGCATTAACTACCCCTTGGATCCTCATGGGCGACTTTAACATCCCGATCACAAATCTGGACTTGATCGGTTTTCCTAAGCTGTCCCATGCCCGTGTCACCCCACCTGAAGGAGTTGACTTTACCTGTAGTCAAGGGAGGGGGTCATTGATTGATTACGTGGTGGCCTCTGAAGATATTGCTGACTACTTGCGTGTGGCTAAACATGACCCCCTCCCCGTTCAAGACTCACGCCTGCCTAGCGGTGTCTTTGACTTGTACAGTGGTCGGGCAAGAGCTGTGGCGGCGTCAGCGCGCACCTTCTTCTCCGCCATGCTTTGGACCCGACCTACCGTGGCCCCAGTATCTAGAGCAGGTGGCAGAGCATGGTCTCCTCCCCCCTCACTTTTTGATTGGTAAGTTGTTGCCGCATGCATTTGAGAATTTGTCGTCTGAGCTCTCGTTGCAGTACTCGATTTGGGGCGCGGCCACTGAGGAGGTGTACTTGACCAGGGCCTCGGCGTGGGCACTCGCCCCTCCTGAAGGTTCCAGAGGAGCGCGTCCTACCTTCAAATTCGGGAAAGTTGGGCGACGGGGGGCATGCGGAGAAAGCGTTCGGCAACCTTCGCTTTGGTTCTGGGCCCATGTCTCGCAGGAGCTTTGGGAGCATCGAATGTATATTGCCAAACGTTCGCGGACGTCGTTTTACATCCTGAGGGGTGTCCTAGCTGGCCTTGCTCCTCGGGTGGCTGATTTTCATGGGGCAGGAGATGCTCGGGCCCCTGATTGGTGGCGGGATCACTTGTCTAGCCTGCCCCAGGGTCTGGATGATCTTAATGTGCTGGCCGATACGATCAGCGCCACCTTGACTACGGCGTGGAGCGCTGCGCGCGCGGAGACTAAGGCTGGCGCGACGCAGTGGCTCCTCAAGGCTCTGCCTCGAGGCGCAACGCGCGTCCACTCGTGGCCGCGGCGTGACCACGGTGCCGACCTTGAAGTTTTAGTAGCGCCAGCTGGCGCGCATCAGCCCCCTGAAGAGATGACGAAATACCGCGAGGACATGCGGGGTACATTCTGGAAGGCGAAAGGGGACCAGCGGGAGCAGCTTTCGAGGGTTTTGGATGCCCTCAGACCGTTGGCCCTGGGGTCTTTGTAGGATCTTGAACCTTTGGAACCAGGCGATATTCAGAGAGCTGCTCGTCTTTCCCGTGAGGACACGGCTGTTGGCGTGGATCAGTGGCCACCTCGGATGCTGGTTTCCCTGCCGCCTGAGGCGGTGCAGTCGTGCACCCGCCTCTTCAATAGTTGCGAGCGTCGGCTCATGTGGCCGACGCAGATTATGTTGGGCATCATAGCGTTGTTGCCCAAGTCTGCTGGGAGCGAAAGACCTGTATGCAAGTGTCCCACTCTGTACCGAGTGTATTGCAAAGCTCGTGGCAGCCATTTTGAGGACTGGCCCCTTGCCCAGGTCATTCATTGGGGCACTGCGATTCGAGGGTCTTCGGCGCTGCAGGCTGCGCTTAACCGAGAGCTTGGCCACGGGATGGCAAGGTATCTTGGGTTGTGCTCGGTGGGAGCTTATTGGGGCCTTAAGAAGTTTTCTGGCACTGTGGACCCTTGTCGCCTTGTTGGACTCGCCGTGAAAATGAGGTACCCCCTGTTCCTCCTGTATTTGGGGATTGTGTTGCATGAAGCCCCGCGTATCCTCGAGGTCCAGGGGTTCTGTACTGACCTCATTCCCATTGGAATGGGCATCTTGCCTGGCTGTGGCCAATCCATGCCGTGGATCAAGATTTTTTATTGCATGACATACTGGATCAGGCGCACGCCTCCTTCTTGCCTGTCCGCGCCAAGGGATACGTTGACGATGTCACTCAGACGCGGCAGGGTTCCCGCGAGGAGGTCCTCGCCGCGTTCGTGCCTGCCGCGTTGCACTTGTGCCACGAGCTGGAGGCTGCTGGCACTGTCCTTGCTGATAAAAGTACGCTTTTGGTATCCCACAAAGAGCTCGGAGCCGAGATCATGCAGATGTTCGCTTCAGTCAACCTTCCAATTCAGTGGAGAGGCTCGGTCCGGGATCTGGGGGTCATGTCTTCTGCAGG